AGGGAGGAAGGACGACGACGGCGACAACGACGACAACGACGACAACGACGAGGGAGGAGGGAGGACGGCGACGACGCGAACGACGACGAAGGAGGAAGGACGGCGACGCCGACGACGACAACGACGAGGGAGGAGGGAAGACGACGACGACACGACGACGACGACGACGGCGACGAAATAGGAGGGACGACGACGAGACGCCGACGACGGACGACGACGACGACGAGGGAGGAGGAGGAAGGACGACCACGGCGACAACGACGACGGAAACGACCACGACGCCAAAGAGGACGACGACGACGAACACGAGGAAAGACAGAGGACGACGTAGGCGACGACGACGATGACAACGACGCTGGAGGAGGGAGGACGGCGACGACGACGACGACGACGACGACGCAAGAGCGCGCGCGCACGCTTTTGTTGAAAATCCGTGTTGCGAAACCTTGGGTCGATTTTGAAATCCTTCCGAAACCGATGGGTTTTGAAGGTTTTCGGCGTGCGCCCGCGACGACGCGCGCGTCTGCACCTCGTCCCGTTTTTTGCAGAGGATTCTCGCGACGGCACACGCGCAAGGGCGTTCGACAGATTTCGACATGAGCGCGCGCGAAGCCCGTTTGGTAGCATTTTGTGAGAATCTGGAAAAACCTATGGTTTACTTAAAATTTCGCAAGAGCTTTCGCGGAAGCTTTTTCAGCACACCACTGTTGCGATTTTTTTGTTTTTTTTTTTTTGCGCGGTCTCTGAATCGGTGTCCGTTCCTATGTGCGCGCAGCGCCGCTCACACACCTCCAAGTGCCAATCGCTAAATGGGACTGGAGTGAAACACAAGTTTCTGCGTAGTCCGGGGGTGGCTAAGCAGACACAGGAGGAGGAGGAGGAGGAGGAGGAGGAGGAGGAGGAGGAGGAGGAGGAGGAGGAGGAGGAGCAGGAGGAGGAGGAGGAGGAGGAGGAGGAGACAGGAGACAGGAGACAGGAGACAGGAGACAAGAAATCAAACGATCTCCAAGTCAGCCAGCCGGCAGACTGGCTCTTGCTGCGTGCGGGGCAAATCTGCGAACTGGTTCAGAACGGCATGCGCTACAGCTCGTTGAAGTGCCACCCCAAGTAGCCCCCACCATCGATGTTGAAGTCCAAGTGCAAATCCCCGTCGAATGCGTGGGTTGTCGTTCCTCGTCCGTGATCGGGCTAATGCTGGCACCAACCAGATAGCTTGTGGACTCCATCGGCCATGCACTTCGGCACCTAGTGATTGCAGAGAGCCCAGCCCACTCGTAATGACCTCTGTGTAATTGTTGTTGTTTTCCCTTTCGGCCAATTCGAATAGGCGCCCTCCATAGTTGCTCGTTCCTTGTCGTGGGGCTCCGTTACCCGCGATGGGGGAAATAATTGTCACATCTATGAATAGCGGTAGCCCTTTAGCAACATTGAGGCACGGTGCTACTATGTCAATGCGTCGCATATCCCCGGGGGGTACAGGGATGTGAGTCCGGCTCAGTACCCTTTCGACATTACGATCTGGTATAATAGACCCTGCTTCTACTAAGACTTGTTTCCATGTTGCAATAAGCGTCGTATGCCTGGCGTGTGTGCGCGAGCCCAACGTGGAAGCAAGCAGCGCGTGGCCATGGGCATCTGGACCGTCACATGTAATAGCAATGCCGAGTCTACGTCGCACACCACACATAATAGTTTCATTTGTCATGGTAAGCATATCAGACGTAGGACATACAAGTAACCACATTGCAGCAAAGGGTCCCATGCAAGAGTAAATCCGCGTTTTTCCTGCCGATATTGCATTACGTCGTGCACTGGGTAATGCCAGGATCCGGAGTAATTCAGTGTGTGTTTTCCGTTCTAGAGCGTCAGATGCCCAATATTGCCACCCATGCCGCCATTCACCCAAGTTGGTTCCCTCTGGAGGTTCTGGCGGTCGCGTCCCAGCCGCCAGATCCCGCACAGAAGGTTTTTGAAGGATTTCTGCATGCGCGCGCGACGACGCGCGCGTGTGCACTTCGTCTCATCTGTTGTAAGGGATTCGCGAAAAAATGTTCTTCTTGAGCAAAAAATGTCACCGCATAGCGTTTTTTTCACAAAGGGAACCTCAGGGGGGGAAACCGGCCTAGTTGGGATAGTGTGATTTCATATTTAGGATGGACGAGTGTGCACAATATATATATATATATATATGTATATATATATATACACATACATACATGAAATCATACTATCCCAGGGGGAACCGATAAGTCCGGGGGGGGGTAGAATCTATTCTCTTTTTAGAGAGGAGAATCAATGTAGTGCAATCGGTGTGGCGCAATCTGGGCTGTGATTTTTGTGGTACAAGTCTATGTGGTACAGGTCTATGATATCAGTTCGCGATGAGTTGTCCACTCCGCTGCTCGCGCAATCATCCCACCCACCCACCTACAACTGGCTTTGCAAAACCCAAACGGCGGCGATTGCGATGAGTGCTTGGAGTTGGATGGTGCATCTCTGC